TAAGTTTCACAATTTTCACGCAACTTTCTCCATGTTACAGTGTTCATTACGTTAAGAGGTCGGGAGCGGTGTTGGAGGGGGGCAGTATCGTGGCTCATCTTGACCTGGATGACCCCAGTCGTGTCCAGCAGGCCCAGAGCTTCAAAGGGACACTCCCCCAGCCCCAGGCCTCGCCGGAGCTAGAGAACATCCTGGCCGGGTACACGCTGCCCCATCCTTACTTCAAACCTAAACTACAGACCTCCATAGAGACACTGATGAAGTGCCTAAGGGATCCGTCACTGCCTCTGCTGGAACTCCAGGTAAAAATAGGGAAATTCAATTTAAGAAGAAAGGACTGGCAGTACATTTATTTTAATTTCAGATTTAATTAAAAAATATATTATGATATCATTTTTTAATATCATTAATATGTTTTACGGTGTGACCGTTGGGACGAGCGCAGTTTATTTATTATCATAAACCTACACATGTACTGTCTATCATTCAAAAAAAAGAAAGCAAAAAGAACTAGGAGACTTGTTGTTCAAAGAACAATAAGAAGTCTTTCCACCTTCTTTGAATTGCAATTCTGTTTTATATCTGACTCCTTAAAATTAAATTCCATGAATAAGAAAACAAAATTTGTCTTAAAAAGATAAATAAAAAAGAAATGACAATTAAAAAAAAAATGAAGTGACTTTGACCTTTGACTTTGAAAAAATCTTCAAGGTCAAAGGTCAAGGGTCACAATGCAATTGACCCCATGCCTCATCGACTTATACTTTTCAAGTAATAACGTTTAATAGTAAGTACAAAGATGTTATAGGGCAATAATTCATATAAGGAGTCACCAGATCCTTTTGCACTTATACACTGAAGTTTGGCCTGAAGACCCTTAAGACATTAGTGAAGATTTGGTGTTTATAGTGTCTATGGTTTCGGAGGAGTAGCGATAACAAGGTTATTCACACAAGGGGCAATAACTTTTAAAAGGGTCAATCTTAGGGGACAAGAATGTTATCTTCGAAAGAGTATGAAGAGTGCATATTACAGACAGAAGATAGATATTATATGTTTAAGGATATAGGAGCTATTAAAAGAAATTTATTCCTCATATTTGGAATGACCTTTACCTTCGACCTTGAAATGAATTTAAAGGCCAAAGGTCAATGAAACTAATGCAGTTGGTTTCATGTCTCTACGACTCCTCGTTTTGAAATTTTTTTGTTTTTTTATAAAATTTATAAACTTTCAGGGGCAGTTACTCATTGAAGGGGTGAAAGAAAACTTTTGCAATGAATAGATTGAAAAGTCTCCTAAATTAGTTGAAGACGCTAGTGAACGTTCTGCATCTCTATTATTTATGGTTTCGGAGGAGTAGCCATAACAAGCCTTACGGTGAAAGGGGCAATAACTGCATAATGGGTTTAAGTTTAATCATGGGGGTCATTTTTTGGAATAACTTTATATATACAGTATCATGAACTATAAAGTTTAAGATTAAGTCTTAAGGTGTCAAAACATAAGGTGAGAAATACAGTTAATTCTCGATAAACCGCCACCTTTTGTAATTTAGAAATCATGGCGGTATAACGAATTTGGCGATGAATTGAATTTCCCATCTTCTGGAAAACAAGAAGTAGAGTTACCGTTCTTAGAAATACCTTTTAGCGTTTCTATTCTTATTATTACATGTACATGTATATAAAAACCTATTACTGATTGAAAAACTTCAAGTTATTTTTTGAATGTTAAAATTCGCTATTTAAAACGAAGTGTGCAGTTATGAAATAAAGACAAGTACAGGTGTGTGCATTTAATCTGCAGGTATTCTACTGAAAAAAAAAAATGCTGGGTCGATCGTCGTGATGTATTGCCGATAATAAGTAAATTAAATTCTTAATAAATTTATTGTTTATGGCAACATTGTTAATTAAACGTTCACAATATATACTGTATAATTATTTTTTCAGCAACCTTTGCATTGTTTAAATCAGAGATCATCTAAATAATATAGTTATAGTTATCGGCATACTTTAAAGCCGTGACTAAATGATTTTTTTTAAACAGAAAACAAAATTATGAAAACAGTTCATGTTAAAATTATTGTTTATTTTGTTCTTCTTTAATTACTTTAAAATTGCATGTACCTTGTCTGCTTTGCATACTTTACAACAGGGATAGTGTCAGTCAATTAGCCGCGCTTCAATTAGCACGCATTTATAAGATAATTGACACTTAAAAATGGACGTTTGTTGTGTTTTGGCGTTATAAAGAGAATTTTATATAGCAGGAAAAACGTTCTTGGGAAATCATGGCGGTATTGCGAAAATGGCGATGAATCGAATGGCGATAATTCGAGAATTGACTGTAAGATAAAAAACAGAAGCATTTCAAGAGGTTTCTCCACAGAAAGGTGGAAAGACCTAATAAAACAAAACAACAAAAAGAAATCATTTCCCAAGCATCGGGATCAAGATTCGAAAATTCTCGGAAGTTTCTGACGAAATCAGAAATACCCGAACCGTTGAAGTAACGAAAGTCTGACGTCAGAATGAGATAAAAAGTTCTGTTGACATAGAACGCAAACTCTAGTTTTATGGAAAAGAGATTGCATTAAATCGTTCTTTTCATGTCAGTTGTTGCTATGTTTTAGCCAAGTTTCACGGAAGCAACTGACATAACTTCGTCAAAATTTGTATGTTTCCGGTGACGTCATTTGCATCATTTCCGAAGGGCAAGGTGAAGGCCGGTGTTGTGGCATGGGGATATTTTTTGAATAAGGTAAGGCATCATTTCGTTAAGATTTCGGTAAGAAACAATGTTCCTTTTATTTTTTTTCCTATTTTTTATTTATTCGCGCAAAGGACATTGGGTAGCGCAGGAATTCTGGGAATGTTGCACAGAGAAATTTGGCTGACGTATGTACAGATTTCAATCCGAATTTCCTCTGTTCATAAACGTTAGTCTATTGAGCTCGCTGCGCTCGCTATAATGATAGCAGTTAGGTAAGATTTTCATGTTGGGACTGTTATGTGAATTTACATTTCTGGCTTTCTTTTGTCCTTATAAATCATCAAAAATTACGGATTTTTCTGGTCAATCTCCCATCATCATGAATTCTGATTTTCAAGTAATTGATGATGGCTTGTTTATCGACATCGTCGGAAACCCACTAGTGATTTCGTCTTTACTTATCACCCGTGGGCAAACTCGCTGAAATATCGCCGTAAAATATGCTAATTTGTTGTTTTTAGTCAACCAATCAGAAAGTAGGAACTCTTTTCAATTTTGAAAAATACGTTTATTACTTTGCTATTTATGGTAAATATTTTGACGCTCGTTAAAACGTGGGAAGTTTGAATCAAAACAATGAAATTCGTACAGGTCACTGACATTAATGTCCGTCAGATATTATGAAGGAGTACCTCTTTCTAACTGCAAAATGCACCTGTCAGGGGATTTATCAGCTGTGTTAACTATGGAATGAGTTTTTAACAATACCGAACTTGCATACGTAACGTGAACTGTGATTCTTTGTTACGCATCGCAACCCTGTAATGCAGCCAATCAAATGACCCATGCATATTTAATAACATACGATGATTTTTCGGGGAATTTGCCCACGGGTGATAAGTAAACACGCTCGAGATCACCCGTGGGTTTCCGACGATGGTTTATAGACTGTAAATATTTTCAAACACTAAATTTGTTGTAGTTAGAGATTGAATGTGTTTCTCAGCTTAAAGTCTTTGGCAATTGTGAGTGAGACATTAATTTTATTTTTCAGGATCTTGTTGCCATGATTTCTGGGAGAGTTCCCCTACAAGTGGAGAAAGCCATCAAAAAACAGCTTCAGTCATACTCCAGTAATATCACCTCTGTACTCAGTCAGTTCTCCAATCAACAGGTAAAAATCAGTGATGGAGATTTTTCTTAACGAATTTAAGAATTAAAGAGAGATTATGCTTACCAATTCTTCTCTCTGTTTAAAGAAAGACAACCAAAAAAGAATTGTGAAAATTAAAAATATTTACAGCAAACAAACTTCATGATTGTGCTACCTTCTTAAATTTGCCAAGAATTTAAACTTCATAATCCCCGTGGGGATCCGGGTTAGAATAGGTCCTCAGTACCCCCTTGCTTGTCGTAAAAGGCAACTTAATGGGGCGGTCCTTCGGATGAGACCATATCAACCGAGACCCGTACCACAGCAGTTGTGGCAAGATAAAGATCCCTCCCTGCTCTAAGGTCGTAAGTGCCGAGCATAGGCCTAAATGGGCATCATGGCCTCATTTAACTCCATGGATGAATTCGAAATGTGAGTAGTCTTTGACTAAATACCGAAGAATGAAAGAAAATCTTACTCTTCATCCTCAGTTTTGTGGACGGTTTAATATTCAATCATTGTTTTGGAGGTATGAAGAGAGTTCATGTCTCCTTTATAAAAATTTCATTTAACTAATCAACTAATCATCCATTCCAGTTATCTTCATCCATGAAATTAAACCCCCATGAATCCATATTTTTTCCTCCAATTACTAATGTGTGCCTCCACAAAAATATATGAATTTAGAGTTTGTGAGCTGATAAATCAGCATCTTTAAAAAAAAAAAATTAGATCTTTGTTTGATTTTGATTTAAGGTTATTATTTTTTTAATTTCCTATTTGTAGCCACTTTCAGCAGGTGTTGGAGTGCTTTACAGTGGAGTCAGACAGCCCACCTAGCAGTCCCACTATACTGGCCAAGAGTCCCGCCGGCAACGAAGACTCCATCTCTCTTCATGTCAGTGTTACTTAATGTACCTTCTGATAAGAAAAAAAAGTAGAAAAGAAAATAATTTAAAAAAGCTTAAAACAAATTACTGAGTTGCCATTACCTGTTGCGTATGTTTCAGTACAATATCATGCTCTATGAAATCCTTCATAGTGTGTCCAATAAATGATGAAAATTAATTATCAAATAAAGGTGCCAGAGAACCAATGTCAATAAATTTTCTCTACAAAGTTCCTCAGATCCAGATGAACCTATTCATATCGATCATCAACGTGGGAATTAAATTCAGCAAAAAGGAGAAGTATGACGACAACGCTCTTGCTGTCAAGTTCCAGGATTTTTGTAAAGAGAGGGTATGGACTCAAATCAAAAAAATTTTAAAGCTGCAATTCTCCATTATACATCTGTTATGGCTATAGTTTGAGATCATTGAAAGTCATGTTTTGTGATATTTTTAGGAGCAGTACTTGTGTGAGAAGGCCATCAGAAGAATCACATTCTTAGTCTACTGTAGGGTAAGTCTCAAAATGAGCTTTTTCGTTAAGGAGAGGACGTTATAAGTTTTTAAGAACTTGTGTCCAATCCTTTTGTTATAACATCAAAACAATAAAATATGTTCAAACCAACTTTTTCGTTGTTATTTCTGTAGGGTTGGTTTCAAAATGATGGCTGTTGAGTAGGTCTAGAATGATGCTTTCACTGTGATTGAACTTAAAAAATAATGTTTTACAAGTTTAATTTTGTATGTGTACAGAAGTGAATGTTGATATGTGTATTTTACATTAAATTTTATTATTAACTTGGATTTTATTTTCTCTTTCAGAGAAGTTCCCCAAAATATTTCACATATCGTGCCAAATTTGATGTAAGTAAATGACAACATGGTAATTAACATTATTGATATAAATAAAACACGTACATGAAAACAAGTAAATGTGTTCCAGGAAATGTCTATATATAGTTCCCTTTAATGCTTCAGACTGTGATATTTTAAAAATCACAATTGGTGAGGACAGGATTTACCGACATTTAGAGCCCGCCCTGGCCTTCCAGCTGGAGATCAACAGACTGAGGAACTTTGACCTGGAGGCAATTCAGACCAACAACTACAAGATGCATCTATACCTGGGAAAAGCTAAGGTAGAATTTAACTCAGTTCTGATTAAAGGGAGAGAACTCTTATAGTATAAGATGTAATTCATATAAAAGCCTTCCTGTTATATATTACTGAACAATTCAAATGTTCTGAAAATAAGTTAATAAATATGTCTTATCTTCTTGAAATCACGTTATTTTAAGCTTATTGCTTTACAGAAATTTGTGAAAAGTTAAAAGTTGATTGAAAAATTTAATAACGTTGCAGACTCTGAACAAAGTTGATTGTGTCCAACAATCTTAAAAGGGACATAACTCTGTAAATTGTCCTCTAAATGTTCTTGTTTAGTGTCTGGACAATCTTAAATTGGCGTTTTTCAGGGTTACCTGCATCATAAACTTATTTGTTTACTGTCTAACAGGTGGCAACAGGACAGGAAGTGACGGATTACAGATTCTTTGTGAGAGTCATCATCAGGCACTCCGACCTCGTCACCAAGGTAACATTGCACACAATGAATAGGTACAAGATTTATTCTTCTAAAAAAAAACCAAAAAAAATTTTGTTTGGATGCAAAAACAGTTACAAGATATTGTCTGATTGTACCATCTTGTGTACTTGTGTCTTGCACTTCTTTATTTTTCTCCCCTATATTCTAAATTCTACAATAAGCAAAAAATCCAGTGAAGCAAAGTGTTCCTTGTCAAAGTTTTCCTATATTTATGTGTTTGTATATGGCATCATCTGAACTATTTATACTCTTTTTCAAACAAAGACAGGCCTTTAGATAAAATTTGATGTTTTTTTTCATTAGGAGGCCTCTTTTGAGTACCTACAAAATGAAGCAGAGAGAACCCTCCTGGAGACTTTGGATTCATTAGAAGTGGCATTCTCCCATCCACTGGTGAGTTAGGGTTGATAAAGTCCTGTAAATTCGCTTATTTTCATTGATTTAAATTTTATTGGTATGCAGAAAAATTATTGGTTCATGGGGATTAAATTCCATGGTTAAAGTAAACAAATATGGTACTGAAGTTTGAAAGGTTCAATTTTCTGGAGGACAACAATTTAAGAAAAAAATCTCCTTGTACCTTAAAAAGACAACCCCTACCCTCTCTTCCCTATAGGAATTAGCAATTTCAGAGTATTTCAAATTTGACCATAATGATGCTTTCAGTTTGTATCGGAATAAACATTCATGATACTAAATATATCTTGTGTTATAATTCCAGTCCAAGAAGACTGACTGTAACCATATATTCCTGAATTTTGCACCAACTCTGACCATTCCAGAACCAGGCAAGGTAAAATCAACAGCAGTATACATATAATTTATACTCATATTTTGATAATTATACAGTTGAACTTTGAACACTGATATATATCTCAAATACCATGGAAAATTTGAAGTGATGTGGAAGTCCTAAACACTGATTCTTGAGCTGTTTCACCCTAGATATCTTCAATACATTGATATCTCAAAGTTTTGATTATTAAGTTGGTCCAAACATGGTCTGTATGTATATATCACTGGTTTTCTTGCCATTTCTGGTTATTACCATTGTCAATTCACCATTACCATGTGTAATTATATCTCAATAGCTGGAGGAGACAGTCAGAGCCATGGCGATGAGATACGGCAGTCGTCTCATGAAGATTAGAGTTCTCATTGCAGAGCTCAAATTCACTATAAAGTAAGACTACTTCTTGACCTTCCATCAAACTTTCTATCAGCTACATACAATGGATATTTTACTTTGGTGATGAAAATTGTGAAAAGACATTAGGCATATATCAAGTATTTTGTAATGTTTTTAGGTTTGCATGCAGTGATACAAGCATTCCTATTCGTCTGTTCTTGACCAATGAGAGTGGATATTACTTGGACATGAGCATATATAGGGAGGTCACAGATCCAAATATGGGACAAGTATGTCATTTCAATTTTTTCCAATCTGATTTTGCTTTCATTTCAATGACATGTTCTATATGTTCATTGTATGTTAATTTGTACCAAAATTAAATCTGAAGATATTAACTTAAATCTGAGTAAGGATAGGATATGTAGATTAGATGGCTGTTACTATTTGGTATAGGAATTAAGTTAAGAGCAATTCTTTTTAGTATTTTTTGCCTACCAGCTACATTTTCTACATCTAAATAATTATTGTATTGACAATTAATATGAACCATGTCAAAAGAATATGGCATACCTGCAATATGTTTTAAAAATCTTCTTCTCAAGAACCACTGTGCCAGGAAAGATGAAACTTATGGGAAATATCCTCAGGAAGTTTAGATTCAAGTTTGTTTAAATCATGACCCCGGGGGTAGGGCGGGGCCACAATGGCCGACCAAAGTTTTACATAGAAATAGATAGGAAAATTCTTTAAAAATCTTCTTTTCAAGAATAACAAAGCCATATTTGATCATATTTATATGGAAGCATCATTAGGTAGTGTAGATTCACCTTTGTTCAAATTATGACCCTCGGGGGTAGGGTGGGGCCACAATGGCCGACCAAAGTTTTACATAGAAATAGATAGGAAAATTCTTTAAAAATCTTCTTCTAAAGGATAACAAAGCCATAATTGATCATATTTATTTGGAAGCATCCCAGGTAGTGAAGATTCAAGTTTGTTCAAATCAAGACCCTCGGGGGTAGGGCGGGGCCACAATGGCCGACCAAAGTTTTACATAGAAATAGATAGGAAAATTCTTTAAAAGTCTTCTTCTAAAGAATAACAAAGCCATAATTGATTATAGTTATATGGAAGCATCTTTTGGTAGTGTAGATTCAAGTTTGTTCAAATCATGACCCAGGGGGATAGGGCGGGACCACAATGGCTGACCAAAGTTTTACATAGAAATATATAGGAAAATTCTTTAAAAATCTTCTTCTCAAGACTTACAAAGCCATAATTGATCATATTTATATGGAAGCATCTTTAGGTAGTGTAGATTCACCTTTGTTCAAATTATGAGCCCTGGTGTGGGGCCACAATGGCCAATCAAAGTTTAACATAGGCATATATAGGAAAATTCTTAAAAAATCATCTTACCAAGAATAGCAAATCCATGATTGGTTATTGGACTACTTTTGGATTTAAAGTATTTAATTATAAACCAATTTCTACTTTTTCCTAGCCACAGTGCTCAGATGAGCGATGTGGCCAATGGGCCTCTTGTTACAATATTTCATAGAGAGCACAACCTCTGATCCAAAATATGCAAATACATAATGAAAGGCCTATTTCTGAAGATCATAAAACATGTTTTATTTTTTGGATCGTGGACTGTGCTCATATTTTATTTCTTTGCTGAAGGTACATGTAGTCAAATACGCATGTTTTCTGCAAATTTCAAGAACATTGCAATTTCTCAAACCTGTTTTCCAATTTGTGGATTCTTGAAAACAAAATTTTATTATAGAAAATTAAAGCACCAAGTGTCTATTTTATTTTGATATATGAAATGGGAAAGAGGGTGATATTTAATTAATTGATATAAGTACAGGGCCATTTTATGTATAACATGGCTCTTGCTCTTTGTCCGTTTTTCTGTCGTCGTTGTCGTCGATAACTTTTCACATTTTCGTCCTCTTCTCAAGAACCACTGGGCCAATTTCAACCAAACTTGATACAAAGTAATTTAAGTGAAGGGGATTCAAGTTTCTTCAAATGAAGGGCCACGCCCTTGTTCAAGGGGAGAAAATTCAGAAATAGTGAAAATTTGATGGTATGATTTTAAAATCTTGTTCTCAAGAATCACTGTGCCATGAAAGCTGAAACTTATAAGGAAGCATCCCAAGGTAGTGAAGATTCAGGTTTGTTCGAATCATGACCCCCGGGGGTAGGGCGGGGCCACAATGGGTAATCAAATTTTTACATAGAATTATAAAGGAAAATTCTTTAAAATTCTTCTTATCAAGAGCCACTGTGCCTGTAAAGCTGAAACTTATAGGGAAGCATCCTCAGGTAGTGTAGATTCAAGTTTGTTCAAATTATGTCCCCATGGATAGGGTGGGGCCACAATGGCCAATCAAAGTTTTACATAGAAATATATAGGGAAATTCTTTAAAAATCTTCTCAAGAATAGCAAAGGCATGAATGATAATATTTATATGAAAGCATCCTCAGGTAGTTGACATTCAATTTTGTTCAAATCATGACCCTTTGGGGTAGGGCGGGGCCATAACATGGAACATCTTTAAAAATCTTCTTTTCAATGATTAGTCCTATTCATATGGAAGCATTCTCAGGTAGTGTAGATTCAATTTTGTTCAAGTCATGACCCCTGGAGGTAGGGCAGGACTTCATTGTAAGTTTAAATTTAAAGGCAATAAAGCCACAGGTAGTCAAAGAAATATGCAAACTAGCTGCAGAACTGTAGCTCTCTGCTTGAGAAAATTCGGAGAGAAAAAGCAGAGAGCTACAGATCCAAGCGTTGTACAAACATTCGATTTACACCGACGATTTTTCGTCGCTACCTTAGGTATTTATTTCGTGTAGTTTAAGCTTTCTCTGGCTTTTAGAATGGTATTCTATAATAATTCATATATTTAACTCTTATATTTCACACTTTATTTGCCTTTTAACGGTCCGAACAGTCCTGTATATAGTTTTGTAATGTCGGTTTAAGAGTTTCCTTTCGACGTCCATGACCACAAACAGCCATTTTTTAGCGTTTAGCATTTGTTTAGAGGTAAGTGAATCATCAGGAATTGAAGTTTAATGTATGATTAATTATTAAGTACAATTTAAAATTAATATCAAAGCTGTGGAAATTATAAAATACAAGAAAATATAACAGTAGTGAGCGACGAAAAATCGTCAGCTTAAATCAAAGGTTTTTACAACGCTTGGATCTGTAGCTCTCTGCTTTATCTCTCTTAATTTTCTCAAACAGAGAGCTACAGTTCTGCAGCTATATGCAAACATACTTAGTTAGACGTGTAGATTCAAGTTTGTTCATATCATACCCTCTCCCTTTTAAGGATTGGTTTGGACCAGTATGAGGTTTAAACTTTTCAATAATAAATTGATTTCTGCTTTTTTCCAAGCCACATTGCTCAGGTGAGCGATGTGGCCCTTGGGCCTCTTGTTTAATTGCCTTTCTGATTGACTTGGACAAGTGTTGATCGAGTGTCAATGTAGTAAACTTGTTTATTTTGTAGCAGACTGTCCTTGTAGAGCTGGAGGGAATCTGCAGCTCGACCAGCTGAGCTATCCGGGTCAGTGGTTACCTCCCTTACCTCGAGGCCATCTTTGCAGAGGAGTTCCGCCATCCCCTCCCTAGCCCAAATGAACTCATCCCCAATGGCACATGTACGGGACATTGGTAGATTTGCCCCACACACCCCAGGACTACACTGATGGTGAGCAGTGCCCTCATCAAGTAAGTGGCCATGTTTTGAGCAAATTTTATTTTTACTAACCATTTTAACTATTTGATGTTTTGATGTAACATTTTCAGCAAATGAGTTCTCTGTATGTGTCGCCGGCAGGAAGGGTGTCTCACCCACCCCCGAGTACAGGGCATTATTGTACATGCCATCTCACTGTACGGGGATGGCATGTGGGGAGTCACTTCCCTTAGAGTATTGACATCCACCAGCTGGCGACACCGGTTACTCATGTCACCCTCATTTATATTTTCAATCATGGGCATAATTTTATTTGACATTTTTTGTAGGGAATTTCGAGTAGGAGGGGGAGTGTTGGTCGAAAGAAGAATTTTCCTCATCCCATCATTATACCTATAGGAGTTTGACTGAGGCCACTTTGTAGGACGTGATTCAATGTGGCAGCTTTCCTACCCGGGGATCTGGTCTCAACCTCCTCGTATAACTTGTACCGCTGGGACACAAACAGACATTTTGTGCAGTGGAGGCCCATTCTACTTGCGAGACCACGCCTATCCTCAGATGCCAAGTCCCACGTGAGGGGTCCATCACAGCTGGATGTCTGTAGCTGGTGCAGTGAGACAACTTCATTCCACATCTCAGCTGTTTTCCCCAAGTGTAGAAGTCTGTGGGAATTTTGGTTAGCCAGCCTAGGTAAGGTCACAATAGTTTATTTGCGTGAAACAGTCAACGGGTAGAAGAGCATGAGAGTACTTATTAGAGTTATTTCCCTTAGACCTACTGACTAGACATACAGAACTTAAATTCAGCATCATGTAATTTTAATTGTTTCAACTTAACACTAAAGTCTTATGATTTGTTTGTAAATGTTAAAATGTAGTTCAGCTGCATGTATCACATTTTACTTTGCATGTATTTACATGTATCTACATGTAATTGTGTATAACATGTAATCCCCCCTTAGAAACTTAATTTTTTATGCGCCCGAATTTTTTCGGGGCGCATATTGTTTTTGTCCTACGCATTTCAACAAAACCTGGGGAGAGAACGTAAATTTTTAAATAAAAATTAAAAGTTCAATCTAATAATTAACACATCGTAAATAATTGTTGTTTTTAAGAGATATATTTGCGTGTCTGTAAAATTTTCACCCGACTTTCAAACTTCGTGACTACAGTAAGTCATAAGAGATTATTTTAAAATTTCTAGACTCCAAAATATTGATTTCATCATGTTTGTCTGTTTATCTGTTTGTCTGTTGTCAACTTTAACCTTCGCCAAAACTTTTAAACCGTAAGAGACAGAGACTTCATATTTGGTATGCGTACTTCTCTAACAAAGTCCTTTCAAATGAAATCAAGGTCAATGACCTTGTGACCTTGACTGTGACCTATATGCTAAAAATAGCTTTTTCTACTGTTTGTCATAACTTTTTAACAATAGGAGATAGGGACTTCATATTTGGTATGCATACTCCACTAATAAAGTGCTTTCAAATGACACCAAGGTCAATGACCTTGTGTGTGACCTATATGCTAAAAATAGCCTTTTACACTGTCTGTCATAACTTTTTAACCATAGGAGATAGGGACTTCATATTTGATATTCATACTCCACTAATAAAGTCCTTTCAAACGACGACAAGGTCAATGATCTTGTGACCTTGATTGTGACCTATATGCTAAAAATAGCTTTTTACACTTTCGCATTTATTAAGCACGGTTTAGAGGTTTGCCATAACTTTTGAACCATAGGAGAACTTAGGGACTTCATATTTGGGATGCATACTCCACCCATTAAGTGCTTTCAAATGACACCATGGTCAATGACCTTGACTGTGACCAATATGCTAAAAATAGATTTTTTGAACTTTGTTACCGCCGGGCGCATAGTGTTTCACAAACACATCTTGTTTACATTTTTAACTTGATATCTGATATATAAATGCTTAATCTGTAAGAATATTTGAAAAATATTGCATTATTATTATTATTTAATACAAAATTTGACTTACTGTTAGTTACTGCACTGAAACCTTTTCATTTAAGCACTGTGATGGGGTTTCATCTCTCAGCTTCCTTGGGCAAACTCAGAGGAGGGTGGCACATTCCCTGCACAAGCATTTCCTCTTTTTCCGCACTCGAATGTCTGAAACCATCTTATTCATCTCCTTGGACAGTCTACTGTATGATGCGTGTAATTAAGTTTTCCTTCTCTTTACTTTTCACCCCCTTATTATATGTGACATTTTCGGGCTTGTAACCATGATTATGCCCTTTTTGAATTTTGGCATTGCTTTAAATTCTCCTTGTTTAGGCTTATAATTCCAAAAACTTGACAAATAGTAATTAATGCTGTTTAAGGCTACAGTGACTGAAGTCTACCGTTTTATCAAAATGGGAAGGGGGGGGTCTTTTGTCTAAATTAATTGTAAACAAAGATGATATAGGGGGCACCTGCTATTTCTCTTAAAGCTTCATTAGATGGGGAGGTGAAACTTTTCGAACATACTTAATCAGCAGAGGGGAACAGATAAGAATCTTTTTGTTTATCAGAGTCAATAATGATTAACTTTTAATAATCAACAAAGAGTTTGCTAATTTGTGACCTTTTGAAAACTTTGTATATTGCCTTTTTTGCTAGGTTTTCATGCAATTTTCAAATTCTGGGTAGAATCCAGAAAAAATTGACTCAATTTGACTTAATATCACTTTATTAATAACATAAAACACAAACATTTCATTAAACAAATATTTTATTTATTACAGTCATAAATATATCCAAATATCATCACCGGTCAGAAAGTCATTCACTCTGTTGAACTGTGGTGGAAGCAGTAAGGTGTGACCTATTGAGATGGACACAGTATCCAATACACTGAAGTCACAGGACTCAAATTTCATACATGTTCAAAGGTATGTGTATAGTCTTTGAAATAACCACAATTGACTAATTCTGGGACAGGTAAGTATGTAAGTATAGGAATGAGAGCACCAAATCCCCGGATGCACACATGGCTTTGTTTGTTATGGAACATTAAACCGAATACTGAAGGGGTAGGCGTTACGCCATTGGCTGAAATCAGGTATTTAATTGTTTTTCATTTTAAAGTAAAATTAATGACGTTTGAAATAAATGATGGGATGAGGGAATATTACAGAAAGTATAGAATTACCAGGGAAGATTTTAGGAGTGGGTGTTGATTTTTTATGCTATGTGTTATTTACTGCGGATCTCTATAAGTTGAAAATAATTGCAATTTTGACCTATAAACGCCATGGGACCATAAATTTTTTTCAGTATTTTTTGTTAGGGCTTAGAACAAAGTTTGAAATGATGCTAAGATTTAGGATTTTTCTGAAATTGTCAAAGTAAAGTACTGAGAGGGCCTAAGATTTGTATAGAGTTCTATGGGAAAATAATTGTTACTCTTTTCCCTATATTGAAAGAGAGAGCTGGCTGTCGCCATTGCTAGAACTGCCAGTCAAGGAGAGGATTATTTGATTGAATTGACAACCCAGATCTGCATAATTATGCTTCCAGGTTTTTTTTTAAACACCTTTAATGTATTTCATTAAGGAAATCTAAATTGTAAACATATTTCATAGTCTAAAAGAAATTCATGAATTCATATTTTTTTCACAGAGCCTTTTATTTTGTGCAAACTGAAGGTCAATGACAAAACTTCAGGACAGGTCCAGGTGAAATATGGAGGTGAAAGAGCACATAATGCTGATACTTTTTAAAAAAGATAGTATAATTTGTTACAGATTCTTGTTTGCTTTTATTTCAGACTGCCCCTGTGATGTTTCCCTATGAATAATTTCCTGTAACAGAGGTCAAGGTTAACACAGACCTCCACTTTCCAGTGCAGCCCGGTGTCTGGTGGTGTCCTGTAAAACGGACTCCAAGGTTACAAAGAAAGAGTAGGCACATTTTCGCTATTGCTACATCTTATTTTCTTCAATGAATTGAATGACTTTTTAGCTCATCTGAGCCAAAGACTTAAGGGGGCCGACTATAGTTTTATTGTGTGAAAACTACTGTACAATAGCGAAACTCTTCATTTTTATACCATATATAACTTACATTAACTTCAGTGTACATGCAAAGTTTGAGGGAAATCTACCATCCAGGTATTTTTAAGGGACCGTCTCAAAATACAGGTACATTTACTATAGCATATAGGAAAATGCCAATTTTTAGCACTTTAGAGCAAATTATACAAATGCTACAATAGAAATTTTGTTCAAACTATAATATTTGATAAGTAATACTATATTTTACAATATTTACATTTGCCAATGTCTTTCCTTATATGACAATACTAAAAAAATGAAATTCAATTTTCGATGACATGCAGTCGGTCACATGATCAGACTTTCTTACGTATGGAAAACAAACTGCACGTGCGATTTGGAAAGTTCAGACTGTGACGTCACATAACGTCATAGTAACGTTACGTTGCATTTCAAAATCTAAATCTAAATAATGCCTATATTTGTTTGTAAAATGAATGAAAACGTAAAATATAAATATAAGAAATAAAATATCATTTTTAGAGTTTCATTGGGGTATGACATGAAGTCGGTATGTGATCAAATTTACTATAGCGCCCTTCGGGCGTTATAGAATTTGATCACGTGACCGACTTCATGTCATACCCCAATGCAACTCTAAAAATGATATCTTATTTCTTAAATATATGTAAGAAACACTAAATTCTACCGTCTTGTTACCAGAGAGGGGCATCTCAAAATGCAAAAAATTAGCAAATTTTACTATTTTATACAGTATTACAAAATATGACGTACACAATGGATTCACATGAAAACATAATAAAAATATTAGAGATATCCTCAAATTTCTATGTTTTAAATTTCAAGAGCGTATGTTAATTACTTTTTCTTTAATAATATTTTTATTACCCCTTTCTTTAAGCGCTACAGATTATCATAACGTCAAAAACACACTGCAACGACGTCAAGCTACCTATCAATTGCAAAATCGGTTAAAAATCAGTTATATCAAATTGTAATTACATTTTTATACCTATAATTTCTTAATTTTGTTTAATTTTAATAATTAAGTGAAAAAAGTTGCATTAAAATAGTAAAGACGCTTCATTTTACTATGATGCGCGAAATATTGCGCAATAAAAACTATAGTCGGCCCCCTTAAGTGAGCTTTTCTGATCGAAATTTGTCCATCGTCTGTTGTCATTATGTCGTCGTCGTTGTCATCATTGTAAACTTTTCACATTTTCATCTTCTTCTCAAGAACCACTGGGCCAATTTCAACCAAACTTGCTACAAAGTATCATTGGGTAAAGGGGATTCAAGTTTGTTCAAATAAAGGTCCACATCATTTTCCAAGCAGAATTAGAGAAAAATTAATGGCATTTATAAAAAATCTTCTCAAGAACCACTATGCCAGGAAAGATGAAACTCATGTAATATTATCCTCAGGTAGTGTAGATTCAAGTTTGTTCAAATCATGACCCCCGGGGCTAGGGTGGGGCCAAAATGGCCGATCAAAGTTTTACATAGGAATATATTAGAAAAATCTTTAAAAATCTTCTTTTCAAGAACCACTGGGCCAGGAAAGATGAAACTGATGTGAAATCATCCTCAGGTAGATTTAGATTTAGGTTTTTTCAAATCATGACCCCCAGGGCTAGGGTGGGGCCAAAATGGCTGACTTTTATGAATCATAATTGTGTACATATGAAAATTTTCGATTATACTGTATATTTTATGTTGTCATGGCTGTTTGTAAAAAATCTAAAACTTTTTTGATATGAAGATACATATGAGGACTATTCATATCACATAGGAAAGAAGATTTGTTTATTTTTCTAGGACGGCAGTCCGGTACTTTAGTGAGTGGAACAGGAATTGTTATTGGTGTATCAGACAAAGGTAGATTCTCCACATATTTCCAAGCTCTGATGGAGGTTAATTTGGCGATGGCAGAGTTGCGATATGAGGATTACTTCAAACCTCCTCCCAGTCTCAGAACTCAGTCCTCCTCCTCATCCTCAACTCTGGAGACTGCATCCTCTTCTTCTCTATATCCCCTCAGCAGTCCCACATCTTCTGCCAAGAGGAAGAAACTCAAAGCAAAAAGAGATAAAGAGAGAGGAGGAGCCGTGCCAAAGAGATCCACCACTGCTCAGCGGAAGAGCCGTGCCAAATAGATCCACCACTGCTCAGCGGAGGAGCCGTGCCCAAGAGATCCACCACTGCTCAGCGGAGGAGCCCAAGAGATCCACCACTGCTCAGCGGAGGAGCCGTGCCCAAGAGATCCACCACTGCTCAACGGAGGAGCCGTGCCCAAGAGATCCACCACTGCTCAGAGGAGGAGCCGTGCCCAAGAGATCCACCACTGCTCAGCGGAGGAGCCGTGCCCAAGAGATCCACCACTGCTCAGCGTACAAGTGAGAGCGACTCCTCCATGTCTCTGAGCCCCGCGTCTTCCTCGGATTTGACTCCGTCTTCTTCCTCGGCCTCAGCGGCCTCTGCTTCCCCTTCCACCTCTGGGACTTCCATGGCCACTGCCGGGAGTGATCCTGGAAAGGGGGATCCTAGTGGAACTAATGTCAAAATGGAGGATATGCTGTGGTTACACAGAGCTGTCACTGTATCCAAAATCCTCAGGTAGCTATTTTAAAGCTTGTGTTTAAAATAGTTTAAAATAGTTTTGTTGATTCAGGTTAAAATTAAAGGAAAAATATGCATTTTCAAAATTATGGATTCGATTTTCTCATGAAGTTAAATCAAAAGTTGAAAAATATATTCCTTTTCAGTAAACCTAAGTGTGTTTTTACAGGTGCTTGGGATTCAAGGAGAAGCATGGGAGACGTTTTCTGAATGACACTGTATCAGAAGCAGCCACTACTCTGAGTACCCCCTCTGTGTCCAGTCGTATGCTGGTGATCACAGGAATTCCTCCGAGTACCTCCCTCAACACAGTAAAATACTCTGATCCTCATGTTTTTTTTAAAAGAAATTTGAAAGATAAAACATTATGTATTACCTGGTAATATTTGGAATTCATTCAAAAAGAAAAATAAGCACTACAGTGACTATTCTTTTAAACATAGTCTAATGTCTGTATATATAATTTTCAGGTCACCAAATGCTGATGAGCCTGGAAAAGGGAAACCTAAAAAGTCTCCAAGGGTCTCCAAAGAGAAAGTGGTTTGGGGAGTTGTAGAAAAGTAAAGATATTTTATTTATGGCAATTAGGAACTTTGTGTAGTAATGTTTACTCTATTGTTTCCATGGTATTTGGATCCAGGCCACAATTAAAGGGTGAAGGTCAAATTGCTAAAATGTAACACATGTAGGAAATTCATATGCCTCCCTTTCAATGATAAAGATGAAAATAGCTCACATGTTTTAGATACTTTTTGGGTATAGAATAAAAGTATAGTGTCTATAGTTTACAATGATATTAAGCAAGGTGCATTTCAAGCGAAAATTATGCCTAGAAATATGAATTGAAAAGAGCATTCATTTGGTTTGTTTACACTCTTTTTGCCGAGTGAAAGCTATCCTGAGGTCATGATGTCAGAAGTTTATTAATAACAAGGGAATTCCACATTCAACGCCCCTATTTCTGGATGTGAATATTTATCTGACACATTGCTCTATCATGTCAAAGATATTTTGGAAGCAAAGACTTTTTAAAAAGTTACAAAGAAAATAAAACACATTTTTTTACTATATAAGTCTATATGTAAGCTAATTGTGGTCCGGGTCCATTTAGGGAATGGGGTGGGTTGGGGGTAATTGAGGATATGGGAATTACTGTATATATGTTTAGTATAAGGTATTAACTTAATAGCTTTTATGGTACCTCTGGGGTGCTATTGGGGCTATGAGAATTTTCATGTAATACATGTATGTGTATTGTATGCTTTACAGTTTCAATGGTATATCAGGGGTTATTAGGGATATTAGAAATTTCATATAATTTTGCATAGTCTGTATAGTTTCAGAATTATATATACCTGAGTTAATTGAAGTATAAATGGGAATTTCATACATGCAGTGTTGATTATGTATCTATGATTAACATAATCTTTTGTTACACGGGTTTATATAGGGATTTTTCATGCAGTTTTGTATACATGTAGTTTACTTTTTACTCTCTGTGTCATATATCTTGGGTTAAAGAGGTGATAGATTTAAATATAGAACTGTATACTTAATACTGTATACAGGGAAATTTTCACCCCATTTTGTTTTCGCCCCTTTCGCCCTATCCTCCTTTGGGCGAGTTTAAAATGGAGCAAATTCAAAAAATACAGTATAATTTCTTTAAAAAAAAATTGGCTGGGCGTGTTTAAAATGGGACGAAATTGTTTTCAAGCGTTTGAGGGCAAAAATAAGACGGGGTGAAAATAGCCCTGTATACAGTACATGTAGTTTCTATAATCCAGTTCTCCTGATACTTGCATGGAAATAGTTTAACAGTGAGGTTGCTCTGTTTATTTTCTAATGAATTTTACTTAACTTTATAAGTAAGCAAACTTTTCAAAGTAGGCTTTTGAGTAATGTTTGTCATACATTATTAAGGATATAATATGCGACTTTGTTTAGGGTTATGGATTTATTGCATTATTTAACACAAATATCATTTCTCTGATTTATCTTTGACATATTTTAAAGATTTTTGTATTGTGCCCATGACATTTTCCATAAGTGATCTGGGATTATATGACTAGCTTTGGAAATTCTTAGCAGTATTATTATATACACACTTATTTTTTCTAGCTAATATCTCTTGTAAGGAGATTACAGTTGTTGTTTCTAACACTTTTCTGGATGCATTATAGGTGTCCGATGTTATTTGCTTATTTTGAAGGAGGTGGCTGTGAAAGAGGGGGGGGGGGGGGTAGTGGGTGGCAAGTGAACCATAGCAATATGTTATTTTGAAATTATCTAAATATAAGTATTAAAGATTTTGCTTTGTTAATTTCTTTTCATTTTGTTGACATACATGTATGTATAGATAGTAACAGTAATGAATTTTGCAGGCAAACATGAAATTGTCAATAATGTTTGTCATGGTCTCTTTACACGTACCCCAAGTATTTCCTAAAGTAGGATAAAAGAAAAAAAATATTGACCAACTTGTTTTAGGTATGCATTTGCTGAAAAGAATTAATTAATTCTTTTCAGGGCTTAGAACTGTTTTTAAATTGGTTATGCAGAGCACTTTACAATGCATATTTGGATGCTTACATTTGACACTCTTAATATCTATAAGTGTGCTCTTGACAAAGACTATAGTACAGTGCAGGCTGCTTTAATGTACCTGATATTCTAGAAATCATACTTGCATATGTTCACCTACACATATTGATGCTGGTAGCTTTAATTTCTTTGTATACTGGTAGCCTTATGCTTTGTATGGTGGTAGCCTTATGCTTTGTATGCTGGTAATCTTATGCTTTGTATACTAGTATCTTTATGCTTTGTATGCTGGAAGCCTTATGCTTTGTATACTGGTAGCCTTATGCTTTGTATGCTGATAGCCTTATGCTTTGTATGCTGGTAATCTTATGCTTTGTATACTGGTAATCTTAATGCTTTGTATGCTGCATCGTCGCAAACCACGGCCAACATGTACGCTCCTCTCCCATTCTGGCCGTGGTTCAACGAGGAGAGAATTCTTCGTAGCTCATTAAAATATTGACCAATGCGAGTAAAGCATAGTCGGATGATGAACGTTATCGCGACCTTTCAATATCCAATGTCGCAGTATAGGAAATATTTCTTGTATACTGTTGACGTCAGTTGTTGATTTCGATTGCGATGGAAACAAAACTTTCCACTGACTGAATATGACGTCACAATAGAGAGGCGTGAATATTCAAGGTAACGACACTTTTTGTGATCAAGCAGCCACGGGTAGGAGAGAGCTATATAAGCGGACTCCGGACCATGGCTTGAGATGATGTGTATACTGGTAGCCTTATGCTTTGAATACTGTTAGCCTTATGCTTTTTACACTTGTGCCTTATGCTTTGTATGCTGGTAATCTTGTGCTTTGTATGTTGGTAGCCTTATGCTTTATATGTTGGTAGTCTTATGCTTTGTTTACTGCATCTGACCTATATCTACACTATTTCATCATAACTTGCTTTTGTTGCAAGTCAATAATCAGCCTTGCTCATGGGGTACATCCACCGTAGGCTTTGTTTTCAGATGCTCTGGTATTCCAGGGTTTTGTGTATGTTCAATTTATTTCCATCATTTATATGTCAGAGCTGTAATTATCTGTTGCAATTTTTTATGTAAATAAATATGTTGATGAATTTGTTATTAGTTCTATAAATTTTTATGGACATTTCTTGTCTATCATGAAATGCCTTAGAAACTAATAGGCCTTTATACATAGGAGCAGCATGGCACAGTGGTTGGATCATTTGTTGTAGAGTAATGTCTGAGTACTAGGACTTGTTCCTAAAAATATCTCAGGTTTAAATCTGGGGTATCCCCCAAGAGACATACCGGTATATTAAAGAACAGTCCTTCAGGCCAGGCACTGGGTGCCCAGTATAATGAAGTTCAAATTTGTAGTCCTCCAACGTCAAGTGGTGATATACCAGTATCTCAATATCGTGGACCTATTTGTATCAGAGCTGAATTGGATCAAGATGTACAATGTTCTGATTGTAATTCAAAGTCTAATGGCTATTAAAGAGAACAGACTTTAAATGAATTTCATATTATAAATTCTTTTAATTTGATATGCATCTAATTTTTGAAATAGAAAAAAAGTTTCTAATTTAAGGAGGAATGCCACAACATTTCTTATAGGTTTCTGAGACAACCTTTTTTAACATTGGTTTCAGCATTGAAAGGTCAACATTAGCTCTTAATTATTTTATATGATTTTTATTTTTGTATTTTTTGAAGAAAATGAAAAAAATTATTTATATCCAAATAAGTTGTTTTCGAGTTAAAAGTTTGCTGTGTAGTGTCAGACTCAGAAACAGATGCGCACGAGATTTGCAAGCATAGTAGGCCTTTTAGCTCATGACATACTGACCTGCCTAATTTATATTCTGGTAGAATTATCAAGAAATTAACTCCAGTAACTTTTAAAGATTTATCACAGAGAGAAAATGTAGAAATGGAAATATTTATCCTTTAACATCAGACAAATGTACAACTTTTTGATTCATATGGTTGGAAAAAAGAAATCTAGTCATTAATAAACATAGTAATTCTGATCTCCGTTTATAGTCTTCAAGGCGTTATAAAATACTAATAGAATAATCTTAATGAAAATGTAAAAAAGAAAAAAATTCTCGAATCTAAAAAAAATAGAAAGTTGGAACCTTGTTGAAATTCTTAAATTAGCATTCAGACAAGTAGCATCGTTTTTGAAGTTGGGGGGGGGCAACCTGAGTTTTTTTCACTTACCTGGAAAAATTGACAAGCAAAAAAAAAAAACAAACAAAAAACAAACATAAAAGTTGCCCAAACTCGAAAATCCTATTTCGTGGGGGGGGGGGGGGATTGCAACTTTTTCAAAGCCAACTTACTATCACCTCAATTTTTTTCCTTACAATCCTTGCTTTCACTATACTATGGTTATGAAGTGGGGAGGGGGGGCAACCATCTCATCTATGAACATTTACTATAGTAAAGGTTATGTTGGGGAAAAAAGTGGGCCAGCCCCCCGCCCCCTGGATGCTACGTCCCTGGCATTCCAGATTGGAGATTGAAGGAAAAAATCTGTAAATGAAATAGAAGAGGATTGTTGTTTTATTTTATTGTATATTTCATACAAAGGGATTGGTAACAAGTTATTGCAACTTTTTCAAAGCCAACTTACTATCACCTCAATTTTTTTCCTTACAATCCTTGCTTTCACTATACTATGGTTATGAAGTGGGGAGGGGGGGCAACCATCTCATCTATGAACATTTACTATAGTAAAGGTTATGTTGGGGAAAAAAGTGGGGGGCCAGCCCCCCGCCCCCTGGATGCTACGTCCCTGGCATTCCAGATTGGAGATTGAAGGAAAAAATCTGTAAATGAAATAGAAGAGGATTGTTGTTTTATTTTATTGTATATTTCATACAAAGGGATTGGTAACAAGTTATTGCCACTTTAAAAAACCCTTTACACTTGTTTACATGGTTATATGAAAATGATATTTGACCAACAAAACTATTATTTTTACTCAAATTACGAGTCACCATGGAAATCACAGTAAGATAAGAGAAAAGCTTCTATATCTAAAAAAATTTCAAACAATAATATTTAAAGGAATTTTCTGACAAAATATATAGGCATTATCCCGCATAGGAGGCAGATTGAAAGGGGCATATTGAACTTGGGGGGAGGGGTGGGGCTTAACCAACAAAAAAGGTCAGCCATAGTTTTCAATGCCTATATTATGTCTATCTTTGCAATAAAAGTGTGTGTGCGGGGGGATAGCTATGCACCTGTTGTCATGGCAACACAAACAAACAAAAAAAAACACCCCACCCACCCCAAAAAACTGTGTTGGTGCACTCCAACAAACTAGTTACATGAGAATTTAGACAAAAGTGTAACGTGAAGCGGTCACCCATCCAAGGGTTAAACAGACTCGCCACTGCTTTAAAACTTGCCTGAAATAGAGAGAAACTCTACCGCATCACTCGAAAAGCTAACTCATTAGCGAGGCAGTATAAGTTCCCTATATACTGTCCGCTAAAAAAGCATTTAATATTAAAGAGCATTCATT